TGGCTCTGGGGACACACAGGGGACAGTCAGGGACATGGGGACAGGGACACCGGGATGTCACCGTCCGACTGGCTCTGGGGACATGGGGACAGTCAGGGACATGGGGACAATCAGGGGACATGGGGACAATCAGGGACACCGGGACGTCACCATCGGACTGGATCTGGGGACACACAGGGGACATGGGGACAGTGACAGGGACACCGGGATGTCACCATCGGACTGGATCTGGGGACACACAGGGGACAATCAGGGGACATGGGGACAGGGACAGGGACACTGGGATGTCACCATCGGACTGGCTCTGGGGACAGGGACAGGGACACGTCAGGGACAGTGACAGGGACACGGGGACAGTGACAGGGACAGGAGCTGGGACACCGGGACGTCACCGTCAGACTGGCTCTGGGGACAGTGACAGGGACAGTCAGGGACAGTGACAAGGACAGGGACAGGGACACCAGGACATCACCATCTGACTGGCTCTGGGGACACACAGGGGACAGGGACACGGGGACGTCACCATCGGATTGGCTCTGGGGACACGGGGACAGTCAGGGACATGGGGACAGTCAGGGACACCGGGACAGGGACAGGGACATGGGGACAGTGACAAGGACAGGGACAGGGACACCGGGACGTCACCATCTGACTGGCTCTGGGGACACACAGGGGACATGGGGACAGTCAGGGGACAGGGGGACATGGGGACAGTGACAGGGACAGTCAGGGGACAGGTGAGGTGACACATGGGTGACGTCACACACAGATGACACAGGGATGATATCACACACAGATGACATCACACAGATGACATCACACACACAGATACCACACGGATGACATCACGCAGGTGACATCACACACAGATAACACACTGATGACGTCATACACCCTGATAACACCCTGATGACACCACACTGATGACATCACACAGGTGACATCACACCCCGATGACATCATGCAGGTGACGTCACGTACCTTGATGCTGTCGTAGGCGCCGGTGATGAGGTGACGTCACACACAGATAACAGGTATGATGTCACACACAGATAACATAGNTCCCAAAAATTTCCCAAAAATTCCAAAAAATTTCCCAAAAATTCCTAAATTTTCCCCAAAATTCCCAAATCCCCGCACCGGGCGCAGCAGCAGAGGGCGGAGCAGGAGGCGGAGCTGTCCCGGCGGAACTTTCCGGATCTGGGGCTGTCCTGGCACTGAGCGATGTAGGCCTGGAGCTGGGACACCGGGATGTCACCATCGGACTGGCTCTGGGGACAGGGACAGGGACACGTCAGGGGACATGGGGACAGGGACACGGGGACGTCACCATCCGACTGGCTCTGGGGACACACAGGGGACAGTCAGGGGACAGTGACAGGGACAGGGACAGGAGCTGGGACACCGGGATGTCACCATCCGACTGGCTCTGGGGACACACAGGGGACAGTCAGGGACATGGGGACAGGGACAGGGACATGGGGACAATCGGGGACATAGGGACAGGGACACGGGGACGTCACCATCGGACTGGCTCTGGGGACATGGGGACAATCAGGGACATGGGGACAGTCAGGGGACATGGGGACAGTGACAGGAACAGGAGCTGGGACACCGGGACGTCACCGTCCGACTGGCTCTGGGGACATGGGGACAGTGACAGGGACACTGGGATGTCACCATCGGATTGGCTCTGGGGACATGGGGACAATCAGGGGACAATCAGGGGACATGGGGACAGGGACAGGGACACCGGGATGTCACCATCGGACTGGCTCTGGGGACACAAAAGGGACAATCAGGGACACAGGGACAGTGACAGGGACACCGGGATGTCACCGTCCGACTGGCTCTGGGGACACACAGGGGACAGTCAGGGACATGGGGACAATCAGGGACACCGGGACGTCACCGTCCGACTGGCTCTGGGGACATGGGGACAGTCAGGGACATGGGGACAGTGACAGGGACACCGGGATGTCACCATCGGACTGGCTCTGGGGACAGGGACAGGGACAGTCAGGGACATGGGGACAGTGACAGGGACACCGGGATGTCACCGTCCGACTGGCTCTGGGGACACACAGGGGACAGTCAGGGACACACAGGGGACAGGGACAGTCAGGGACATGGGGACAGTGACAGGGACACAGGGATGTCACCATCTGACTGGCTCTGGGGACATGGGGACAGTCAGGGGACACGGAGACAGACAGTGACAGGGACAGGAGACAGACAGGGACAGATGAGGTGACACACGGGTGATGTCACACACAGAGATGATATCACACACAGATAACACACTGATGACATCACACACAGATGACGTCACACACCCTGATAACACCCTGATGATGTCAGCCGCGGGTGAAATAACACAATTATAACACCCTGATGACATCACGCGGGTGACATCACACACTGATGATGTCACGCGGGTGAAGTCACTGACCTTGATGGCGTCGTAGGCGCCGGTGATGAGGTGACGTCACACACAGATAACACAGGGATGACGTCACACACTGATAACACACTGATGACACCACACACAGATGATATCACATACACAGATGACGTCACACACCAATAACACCCCGATGACGTCACGCGGGTGACGTCACTGACCTTGATGGCGTCATAGGCGCCGGTGATGAGGTAATGTCACACACAGATAACACATAGATGACATCACGCGGGTGATATCACACAGGTGATGTCACTGACCTTGATGGTGTCGTAGGCGCCGGTGATGAGGTGACGTCACACACCGATGACATCACACAGAGATGATATCACACATAGATGATATCACATACACAGATGACATCACACACAGGTGACATCACACCCCGATGACATCACGTGGGTGACGTCACGTACCTTGATGGTGTCGTAGGCGCCGGTGATGAGGTGACGTCACACACAGATAACACACTGATGATGTCACCCAGATGATATCACACACAGATAACACACAGATGACGTCACACACCAATAACACCCCGATGACGTCAGGCGGGTGATGTCACTGACCTTGATGGCGTCGTAGGCGCCGGTGATGAGGTGACGTCACACACAGATAACACATAGATGACATCACACATAGATAATATCACACACTGATTATGTCACACACCCTGATAACACCCGGATGATGTCACCCTGATGACGTCACACAGGTGACGTCACTGACCTTGATGGAGTCATAGGCGCTGGTGATGAGGTGACGTCACACGCCAATAACACACCGATGACATCACACATAGATGATATCACACACAGATAACACACTGATTATGTCACACACCCCGATAACACCCGGATGACGTCACACTGATGACATCACACAGGTGAGATCACTGACCTTGATGGCGTCGTAGGCGCCGGTGATGATGTGATGTCACACACAGATAGTATCACACACATGATGTCACACACAGATAACACACAGATGACGTCACACACCAATAACACCCCGATGACATCACGCGGGTGACGTCACATACCTTGATGGCGTCGTAGGCGCCGGTGATGAGATGACGTCACACACCGATAACACAGGGATGACATCACACATAGATGATATCACACACAGATGATGTCGCACCCCCCGATAACACCCAGATGACGTCACACTGATGACGTCACCCTGATGACGTCACATACCTTGATGGCGTCGTAGGCGCCGGTGATGAGGTGACGTCACACACAGATAACACAGGGATGATATCACACATAGATGACATCACACATAGATGACATCACACATGGATGATATCACACACACAGATGACATCACACACAGGTGACATCACACCCCGATGACATCACGCGGGTGACGTCACTGACCTTGATGGCGTCGTAGGCGCCGGTGATGAGGTGACGTCACACACCGATAACACACCAATGACATCACACATAGATGATATCACACACAGATGACGTCACACACGGGTGACATCACACCCCGATGACGTCACGTACCTTGAAGCTGTCGTAGGCGCCGGTGATGAGGTGACGCACATAACAGATGGTATCACACACAGATAACACAGGGATGATGTCATGCTCCCCGATAACACCCGGATGACGTCACACTGATGACATCATGCGGGTGACGTCACGTACCTTGATGCTGTCGTAGGCGCCGGTGATGAGGCGACGTCACACACCGATAACACATCAATGACATCACACAGATGATATCACACACACTGATGACATCACAAGGATGACGTCACACCCCGATGACATCACGCGGGTGACGTCACGTACCTTGATGGCGTCGTAGGCGCCGGTGATGAGGTGATGTCACACACAGATAACACATAGATGACATCACACACACAGATGACATCACACACGGGTGACATCACACCCCAATGACGTCATCCTGATGACGTCACGTACCTTGATGCTGTCGTAGGCGCCGGTGATGAGGGCGATGAAGAGGCTGAGCACCATGTAGATGAAGAGCGCGCTGAACGAGTACAGGTAGACCTGGCTGAAGAGCCACACCAGAGCGCCGCTCGGCCGCAACGCCGCGAACGTGGCGAACATGTCATCGCCATTGACCAGCGAGAACAGGCACTCGGACACCATGGA